TGAAAAGTATAAGAAAATCGACATGAAAAAAATTAGACAATAATTGTTTTTCAGGTCTGAATTATTCTGAAGGATTTTGGTTGATTCAGAAACTTACTTATTTTAAAAGAAGTTGTTAATAATGTCAATATAATCCAGAAAGTGGTTGTTTTAACATTTTTTTAAACAAAAAACTAATATTTCTGTAAAAAAAATTAGTAAAGAAATCCTGAAAATTGCCATTTTTATCTAATTCTAATAGATTTCCTTCGTTTTTGAGCCAGAAAGTTACTCGTTTAGAAATTTACTATCGTTAAAATGCTTTTTACGTTTTTTGTATTTTTAGCATCAATTTGTCAATTCGCTTTACTTATTCGCTCAAATTTTATTGTGAAAATTGTTAATTTGAAATAATTAATTGTTGTCTCGTTCCATTATGTAAATTTTCTTGTTTTTGTCAAAACTTTAACTAAAGGATTATAAATTTCTTAAAAATTTTGAATAAAATAAACTGTTTCTTTAAAAAGTTTTAAAAAATTAACATGAAAAAGAAACAGACAATTGCCGTTGGAAGTCTGAATTATTCCGAAACATTTTGCCCGTTTTCCCCCTAGAAACTTACTTACAAAAAATATTCATTTTAGCAATTTAAGGCATTTTAAGCTAAATATTGGTAAAACAAGCTTAAAAATCGTCGTTTTTGGCTAATTCTAACAAATTTGGATTGTTTTTTGAGTCAGAAACTTACTTATTTTTACTTTTACTATTGTTTATTTTTGCCATTTATTATCGATTCGTTAATTCGCTACTTCGCCCTCTCGCTAATTCGTTCTCGTTATGTTGCAAATGTCGTTTAATTCGAAATAATTAATTGTTGCCTCGTTCCGTTATGTGCATTTTCTTGTCGTGTATGTGTCATTAACGCGTCTAAACCAGTACTTATAAGAATGCGGCAATCTGGGCGAAAAAACGGCCATAATCCGTAATAAGGCGTTCCATTAGTATATACAAGTGGCTTTTTTCGGCAGCTTCTTGTGAGAGAAATTTCCATTTAACACCTGCGATCTCACCAGGACACAACATAGTATCGTGTAATGCACCATATAAACGCGAAAAGCGTGGGCCATCGAGGCCTCGTCGAGGAATAATAATCGCTTTTGAATCATAATTTTCAGACGGAATTTACACCACTCATTAAGAAATTAACACGAAAAACACTGAACGTAATTTATTGCAAGCAATCTGATTTTTTACCAAATCGTAAATCATTAAAAATTGCTCCTCCAAGTGCAATATTCCCACAAAGGCCGCGAGCGATTTAAATATTTTTGATTAGAGAGCTATGCGAAGTGCTTAAAGTGTTTGAATCTTTAATAATTTGTTTTGAAAAATGGTCAAATGACACGAGAAATTTGTTGATTAAATAAAATAAAATATCTACAAATTTTTATTGTGACACCTGGGGAAAGAGGAAGAAATACCGAGAAATGCGTTTTGGTTAGTCGTTATTTACATATGTAAATTTTGTTAGGTAGTGAAGTGTTACACAGGTATTAAACTTGATACAAAGCTATAAATGTTACTTGTCGAAATAAAAAATACTCTTCCTAGTGTAAAGACAGTTAAAGTTTATACACTGGTGGTTTCCGACTTTAACATGAAAATAAGGGAAAAACCGAGAGAAAAATAAATGTGTTCTATTCTCGTGCAAATTTTTTGAAACCGATAATTTTTACAAAACCGAATCAGATAGTGTGAGGTATGTAAAAGGTCTAAATGTCGACAAAATTTGATATTTGAGCTCTAATTTTACTTTCTACACAACATTTTCGAATCCGACAAGATTTGCTATCAGTTTCTAGTAATTTTTACTAAAGACGAACATGAAAATATGAGAAAACAAATGTGTTCTATTCACTTATTCGCTCATTCGCTTATTTGCTTAAATTTTTCGGTAAATTTGAATTAATCAATTGTTGTCTCGCTTTGTTATCTTGTTTTTATCAAAACTTTAACAAAAAAATAAACTGATATTTTTTTATCAATTTGTCAATTCGCTTATTCGATCAATTTTTTTTTTGTTTTTATCAAAACTTAAACTAAAGAAAAAAATGTAGCTTGTTTTTGATTCACAAATTTACTTATTTCAGAAGAATTTGTCAAAATAGCCCAAAAATGGCTTAATACGTTTTTAAAACTAAAAACTTACTTTGTTTTAAAAAAATTTCGTAAAACAAGCCTGAAAATCGTCATTCCTAGCTAATTCTAATGAACTTGGCATGTTTTATAGCTAAATTTAATTTAATTTTTGTTAAAATCTATTTTACGTGTTTATTGTTTATTTTTTTACATTTTTTTATCACTTTGTTCAAATTTTGTTGCAAATATTGTTAAATTTGAACTAATTAATTGTTGTCTCACTTTGTCATCTGCATTTTCTTGTTTTTGTTAAAATTTTAATAAAAAGATAAAACACAACAAATCGTATGAAAAAATCTACATAAAAAAATCAGATAATTTTTGTTTTGTGCTTGACTTAGAAATTTACTCATTTTAAAAGAATTGTTAAAATAAATCAAAAATCCTCGTTTTAACACGTTTTTAAGTTAAAAACTTCTTTTTCTTTAAGAAATTTTGGTAAAATAAGTTTAAAATTAGTTGTTCTTAGTTAATTTTAGCAGCTTTGGCTCGTTTTCGAGCTAGAAAGTTACTTATTTTTAAATTTATTATTCTTAAAATTTATCTTACATGTTTTTTGTGTATTTTTTTATCAATTCGTTAATTTGCTTATTCGCCCACTCTGCTTAAAGTTATTGTTAAATTTGAACTAATTAATTGTTGTCTAGCTTTGTGATGTGTATTTTTTTCTTTTTATCAAAACTTTAATTAAAGGATTATATATTTTTTTAAACTTTAATTTGAATAAACTGTTTCTACAAAAAGTATGAAAAAATCGACTTGAAAAAAATCAGAAAAGTGTTGTCTTAAGCCTGAATTCTTCCGAAAAATTTTGCTTGTTTTTGACTCAAAAACATACTTATTTACTGAAACCGATAATTTTGATAAAACCTTTGCGAATCAGATAGTGTGTCGGCAAAGCCGTGATCCCCTTCTAAATGTCGACAAAATCTGATAGGTGAGTTCTATAATTCTATAACAGTTATTTTTACTAAAAACAAACATGAAAATATGAGAAAAACACATGTGTTCCATTCTTTGCAAATTTTTCGAAACCCCATTTAAGAAAAATTATAATTTTTTATTTTATGCTTAGATCTTTTCCAATTTTTTTTTAATTTTATTGAATTAAATACGTTGTTAGGCAACTAAAAAAACAAGCTCGGAGGCGGTTCATTATCCACACTTGAATATTGCACCGATTTGCGATTTTTTACTTCTTTTTCAACAAGGAGAAAGCGAGCGATTGGACTAATTAAATTTTTGTCGACTCGAAAATTTGATTTTTGGGTCACACAACTGATCAAAGATGCCATGATTATCGTGACAATTACACCAATCACCGAATAGTAGAAGTATGAAATTTGAAACAACCAGGGAGGTGACGATTTATCACTAAAACAAGTTTTGTAACTAAAAATAAATAAATAAAAAAATACCGACATTGTAGTCTCATTTCGTAAAGTTTGATTCAAACAGTTGGTCGAAATGGGTTTCAAATACTGATTTTGCCCATTTTGGTCCTGGTAATAAGTCGCTGGTAAAGCAATTAATAAACAAGTCACAAATCCGAAGAGAGTACCATAAAAAGCTCCCTAATTAAAAAAAATTAAATAAAATACAAAAAACGAGTACTTACTTTAGAGTTAGTTTTTGGTATCAAAAGCCCGCAAGTAAACATCCCCAAAATGGGGCCCCCAGTCACACCTGTTATCGTAAAAATGATATTAAATAGCGTTCCTAAGTAAGGCATTACAAAAGCCAAAATTGTGCAAAAAATACCAATTCCGACGACTGACAATTTCAAAATTTTACTTTCATTAAATTTGCTTAAAAATGGTTTCATGAAATCTGAATATATGGAACCAGATAAACAGTTCAAAGTTGCTGATTGGAGACTGAAATAAATTACAGTTATTGTGACTCAACTGAAAAAAGTTACCTCAAACTTGAGCTGAAAATTGCGGCTACAAAAATTCCGGAAACTCCGGGAATTTTATTACCCACATCCATGGCAAGGTAAGGTAATAACTGGTCCGGTGTTTGGATAAATTTTGCACTGACTGGATCACAATCCCAATATTTTGCATACATAGTTAATCCGAGAAAAATACAAATAATTACGACAAAATAGTGCCCAATTAGGAAATAAAGCAAGGCTCTTGATGCTCCTTTTATGGTTCGGATTGATCGCATTTTTTGGACGGTAATTTGGTCAACACAATTGATTGTCAAATATGTGAACGAATAACCGATTATCATGATCCAAACACTGCTATGACGTGTTGGGTTTGGATCAAATCTGCAATTTAAGAGTAAATTTTTGGATTTTATTTTTCCAAAACCAGACTCGAAAATGTCCAAACGGCCACTTCCCATCGCTTTGTCCCAAATTTCAGTGAAACCCCCAGTTGATCCAATCGCTAAAGCTAGAATAATGATGAAAGTGACCAAAACGACAAAAAATTGCAACACATCTGTCCAAATAACAGTCCTGAAACCTCCAATACTTGTATAAAAAATACAAACACCACTGACACCAACTATAACGTATTGCAATTGAAATCCAGTGACTAGAAATAAGATACAGTATGTGCCAAAAAAAAGTTATTTGATACCTGCAGATAAGGCCAAAGCTGGCGTATAAATGGTCATTGATAGATAACAGATGAGACAAATTGTAAAAATGCCCGACGCGAGTTGCCTCGCCCTTTTATCAAACCTTTTTTCCAAATATTCATAAACTGTGTCAATTTCAAGATTGTAAAATACAGGTAAGTAGATAAATTTGTTGGCAAAGTAGGCTATAGTCATGCCAATTATGACTAAAATTATATTTGCACCAAAACTATACACTTCTGAACAGGAGCTTAGAAGAACGGAAATGGAAGTCACACTAAAAATTGTTTTTTAATTTGAAAATTTTATGAAAAAATTTTTACCTTGCAATTAGTGATACACCAACTGGGAATGCGTTCATTTGTTTGTTTCCTTGGAGGTATTCGGAAGGATTTAATTGCTTGTTTTTAGCGAAACATCCGAAATAAATTCCGATTAAAATGCTTAAAACTAGGACTAAAATAAAAATTGAATAATCGTACCAGAATAGTGTGAGAGAGTTCATTGCTATAGTAAACTTGTAACTCCATAATTCTTTAAACATTCAAGCCTTGAATTAAATATGTCTACGGTTTTATCTTTACACTTATCGTAAAAAATGTAATAATTAAAAATAATTTTTAAAATATTGAAATGAAAATGAATACATGCACTACAACTTTTTGTAACGTATGTCTTGAATAGTGACTTCAAGACCTGTCAGTTTTTATTTAGAAAATTTAACATTTGTTAAAATTATTCTATCCAAATTATCTAATAATTTCCCTTACCACTAGAATTTTACTATTGGAATTGAGAAGGAATTTATTAAACAAGATCATTCAAATACAAATCCAACTGGAAGATTGACATTTCCAAACTAAAAGTGAATAAAATTCGTTTTTATCATGCGCTGAATAAACACAAATGCATGATAAGAGTTTGTTAAAAACGGGAACAATTGTGATAAGAGCGCATTATACAGGGCATTTATTTTAAAAGGAGCCAGTCTCAATAACTTTTGACATTGAGTAAATATATTTTCAAGCAAAAACAGGTCGATTAGTTCAAAACCAACATTAGTTACATTTTAGGTTTCATTCCCTAGTCGCTAGCCACCTCTACTTTACAATTGTAAATGGCACCCTCTACTTTGTAAATGTTTTCAGAAAGAGAAAAATCAGCGTACCTAAATATCAAAGAAAAATTTTTTTGTCGATTTGTTTTTCTTAATTCTATAACAAATTTACGAAAATCAGAAACAATGAGTTTTAAAAGTGATCGTTAAAGTTATAAGTGTTAAATTTTGCACTTTGACTCGATTTATTTCAGTTCAAAAAACAATTTTCCAAGTTTTTTTTGCTACAGACTATTAGAAGAGAAAACAAGGAAGCTGCATCCTAAATTGTACCACTGTTTAATGTTATTTGTGGGTTTTATTGGCAAAATTTTTGTATCTTTACTAAATAATTATAAAAAAAAACATATACAAAATTATTAGTATTATTAAATAAACATAAAAAAATGTCAAATGTCAAAACTTAGGAAATCGACTGGAAAAAAGTTGGTTAAGTTATCTTGAATATGGGATTTCTATTTAAAATTATTATTTTGGAACACTCTGTATTAAATAAAAATATTTTTGGAATGTGCTTCATTGTCGGATCTGTCATTGAAAAAAAATCAAGTCCATAGCTTAGATAAAAAAAAAGTTATAAAAGCTACACACACCCCTGGGTCAGCCTGTATATAATTTTTCTTTTTCATAAAAATTAAATAAAATGTAGATTGTTGTAATTTTTAAACCATAGCTTTTGTAAAAAAAATATTTTTTTTAAACAAACAAAACTATCGAGAAATTTTACTCTTGACAAAACGCCACATTTTTATAGTACTTTGTCATTTATTAATTAGTTTTTTCAAAAATAAATAGTTTAGTTCCATACTTTTTATTCATTTTTATTATTATTATTATTTGAAATATGTCTTGTGACTTGTGACTATTTTTTATTCTTAATTAAAAACTTACGTGGAATTTTTTTCGTGCCGAAAATAATGTACAGATTGAAATTATAAAATGGTCATATTTTGAAGAATTTATAAAGTTTATAAATAAAAATTTACAAAAATCAGAAACAATGAATTTTAAAAGTGATCGTTTTGGCATGGAATTACTCAATTAGATAAAAAAAAGTTTTTCCATGTTCCTGGTATTTCATCTTACTTGAATTTTTTTTCTTCACACTGTATATACGTGTATGTACGTAAGAAAGTTGGCTCTGGGGCTCTTGAAATAAAAAAACTTTTCTTGCCCACTTGCGTGTTTATTTTTTCATAAATCAGTTGATTTCCTGACCCGAATTCAAAATGTTTCAAAATTACACGCGAAAAGCTTCAACCTCATACATCAGCAGCATCGAAGTCTTTAATCTGACTGTAAAACGGACGAACGTGCCAAGCTTACTCTAGTAATTACTGATCCAAATCTTCAGATTTATATTGAGGCAGACAGGAGCCATTAAGCATGAACTATTACTCAAAGTGGCTTCCAGGAAGTGTTTGAAAAAAAGTCCTCAAAACTCGGGTGTAAATAACTCAATCAGCTGTGATTATACTGTGATAAATGGCCCCAAATTGTGGCTCTAATTTCTCGATTAATCCTTTCACATTTTTTTTTTTACTTTTCGAATTAATGTGGTTCCGTAGGTGTGCTCGTTGTTTATTTTATTGGTCCAACAATGCCGACACAATTCGCACTTAAGCTGTAACAGAGCTATTCTCGATGACCATTACATTACTTGCGAATGGAGCTGTTTTCGCGTGAAATTTTTCACACAATGAGTGGTTTTCCTTCTCTTTAAGCTATTGGAATTGTGCGGAAATGAGATGAAAGACATGAATTGGAGTGGTAGTTTCAGGCTGGAAGAGTGGACGTTTATGGGTGTTTGCAGGCTGTAATAATTGTAACAATTCTAAACAATTTAATTTAGAGTTATGGTGGGAGTGGAGCGGAGAGAATGAGTGGCGAAATATTGCTTGTTACAAAATCCATAAAAATAAAAGCTCAAAAATTGCTTAGTCGCACATTCGCTAATTCGCTTATTCTCTCGTTTTGTACTAACTTATTTTTTCTTTTGTTTTTGTAAATTTAAAATAAAATAGAAAAAACAACTCACTTATTTCAGTTTCAAATTTTATTTTTTACTAAAAAAACACTAATTTTACTAACTTAAATAAACAACATTTTTTTTTACATAAAATGAAAAACCGTTTTGACATAAAACTGATAATTTTGCTTTATTTATTCGCTTCTATAATTCGTTTCTCACTATTTAACTAATAAATCATCTTATTATTTATTCATTATTTAAAATGGGTGGTCCGTTTACAATAAAATTGCAAAAATTTGCCCATTGTCACTTTTTATTCGCTTATTCGCTTATTTGACATTATCATTTTTATGTAATTCGCCTGTTCGCTCATTCGCATGTGTCATATTCTTATTTTTTACTTAATTATTATTTATTAATTTAATGCAAAAAGCTTTGAACCAAAATATGCAGACGAAAAATGTTACATTTTTGGTTACTTTTCTTATTTAATGTTTGCTTTACTCTTTTTCTAAAAAAACAACAATTATTTTGTAGTAATTTGGTTTTTTTGCGCTTAATTTTTAATAAAAATTTTCATTATTTATTTAGTCGTTAATTTACTTTTCTACTTGTTTATTCGCCTATTCGCCCATTCGCATATTTTTTTCTTCTTGTTTACATCATTTACTAAAAACTACTTTTTGGATCAAAAATGCACAATTTAAATAAAAAAAATCGTAAAATGTGTTGAGAAACATTAATTTATTGTCAATTTGGTAGCTTTTTATTTGTTATAAGTTGTTACTTATTTAATTAATCTTTTATTTGCTTTATGTCTTATTTTTTTTAACACAATTCTATTTCTTTATAGTTTATTTTTATTATTTTATGCCCATTTATTTATTCATTGTATTAAATACAATTAAAAAAAAATGTAAAACAGTAGTGAAATGACAAAAATTTGCAACGAAAACTATAGCAACTTATAAAAATTGGCTTTGAGTTACAATGGCTTATGTAGGGCCCAAAATACAAAAACAATGAGAAATTTTTTTTTAATAAACAATATTATTACCAAAATTTAGACCCTCAGTAATTTTCAATAATATTAAACAGTTCCTTGATTCTTTATTAACAATCAAAGATTCAATGTAATTTTTCTCAAAACTGTAGATTTTGAGTTACTATAGTTTTTGTTGGGAAAAACGATATCATTGTTTCCTATTCGCTTATTTATGTTTTTCTTTGTTTGATAAAGTAATTCGCTGATTCGCTAATTCGCTTAATGGTTTTAATAATTTTTCTCTGATAGTTTTAGAGTTTATTATTTGAAATTTTCCTCTTCTATTTGCTTATTTACTTCTGTTTCTAAAAAATTGCACTTTATGACTGGTGCTAATCTATTATGGAAGAAACCTCAGAAGAATGAGATGAAGAAGAATACATGAAACAGTGATTAGTTTGACAACCACTGTCATGGTTTCTAAAAATTAAATAATTAAATGTGTATATTTTGTATCCAGTGGTTTGTGACTTTTGTATATTTGGGTGCGTACAATAGGCGCAAGCTTCGTAAAGTTGTGTGAAATACCCTGTATAATCGTCCGTTGCTTAGTTCTTTTTTTCTTAACACAATTGTTTTTCTTTAAAGTTTTTAATTTTTTTTACATTAAGGATTGTTTTTTATTTGTTTATTGTAATAATAGACTAGAATTGAGTGAATTGAATATTTTGCTAAGTTAATAATTTTCTCATTTGTTATTAATTTAGTTTGTTGAGAGAAAAATTTGGCAAAACATTGCAAATCCTTCTAATAAAAAAATGCCCTCGGCTTTCTATGGTCTCCTCTGGTATTACATACATTCTCGGGATTAGAATAGTTGTTTAAATGCCTTTGAAACAAAAATTATTATTCATTCATAATAAACACAATTAAAAAATTTTTAGTTAAATCGCGATAATTCGCTCAAAGAATGGTATTTTCGGGGTCCAGTGTTCGCCTCCAGCACCAGTCGAAATCTCGCATGTTATTTTTCTCTTCGCTATTAAACAAGTCATTAATAGTGACATTTCAATGATCGTATCTGTTAGAAAAATGATCGTTTGTTTGGTAAATGACAAGTGTAGCGGTTCCTTTGTGATAATTTTCGCCGGATGTTGGTAGTCGTGGTATGACCTGCAAGCCGTGCACATAAATACTGCTATATCATAGACGGCCGATATTAATTACCCTCCAGTAATTATGACCACTCCCTGACCCGAGCAAAGCCTGCTAAAAATACTAAATAGCTACTTCGCAACGGCGGACGTGGGCGTGAAAGATATCTGCGTATTGTTTCAGCGATTTTTACTGAAAATTGCATGAAAATTAGTGATGGTTCCAAGTCAGCAACCTCACTGACAGTCGTAAAGATTTTTTTGCAATGCCGTTGGATGAAGAG